CCCCAATGTCCCCATTGTCTCCATGTCCCCCCATGTCCCCCCGTGCCCCCCATGCCGCCACTGACGCCCCCTGTGTCCTGCAGCCCCCCAACCTCTGGCCATGCTGCAGAGCCGGGAGAAGCCGGCGGCCCACGTGGTGGGTGAGTGACATGGGGGGACATGGGGGGACATGGGGGGCATGGGGGGACATGGGGGGACATGGGGGGACACGGGGGGACATGGGGGGACACGGGGGGACATGGGGGCACCTGGCAGCCCTATCAGGCTCCATTGACGCTCCCGACTGTTGTCACGTTGACGCCGTTGCCCTGGTTGACCCCGTCAGTCGCGTTGACGCTGTTGATGACGTTGACCACGGGGGGCACGTTGACGCCATTGACCCCATTGACCTCCTTGACCCCATTGACCCCATTGACCCCACCAATGACGTCAACCCCATTGACCCCATTGACCCCCTTGATGCCATTGACCCCATTGACCCCCTTGACCCCATTGACCCCATTGACCCCACCAATGACGTCGACCCCCTTGACCCCCTTGACCCCACCAATGCCATCGACCACGTTGACCACGTTGACACTGTTGACCCCGTTGATGACGTTGACCGTTGATCCTGTTGACCCCGTTGACTCAACCGCATTGGTCACGTTGACGCCGTTGACCTCGTTGACCCCGTCAACGACGCTGACCACGTGGGTCACGTTGACGCCGTTGACCCCGTTGGCTCTGTTGACCCCGTTGGTCATGTTGGTGCCGTTGATGGCATTGACGCCATTGGCCGCGTTGACCACGTTGGCCGCGTTGACGCTGTTGATGACGTTGACTACAGCGCTCACGTTGACATCGTCCATTGACCTCGCCAATGACCTTGGCCACGTTGACGTCATCGGTGCTGTTGTCCATGCTGGCCCCATTGACCGTGTTGGCCACGTTGACCCCATTGACCGCCTTGATGCCATTGACCCCATTGACCACGTTGGTCATGTCAACCACGTTGACCCCATTGACCACGTTGGACCCATTGGCCATGGTGACCTCATTGCCCCATTGACCATGTTGGCCACGTTGAGCTCATCGACCACGTTGACCCCGTTGAACCCATTGACCCCATTGACTGCGTTGACCCTATTGACCCCATTGACCCCATTGACCGCATTGACCCTGTTGTCCCCATTGGCCACATTGACCCCATCAACCGCGTTGGCCACTTTGGTCACATTGACCCCATTGACCCCATTGACCATGTTGACCTTATTGACCATGTTGACCTCATTGATCCCATTGACCACGTTGACCCTGTTGACCATGTTGACCTTATTGACCATGTTGACCTCATTGATCCCATTGACCACGTTGACCTCATTGACTCTATTGGCCATGTTGACCACATTGACCTCGTTGACCGCATTGACCATGTTGACCCTATTGACCACGCTGATCCCATTGACCTCATTGACTGCGTTGACCCCGTTGACTCCATTGACCATGTTGACCTCGTTGACCACATTGACCATGTTGACCCTATTGACCACGCTGATCCCATTGACTTCATTGACTGTGTTGACCTCATTGACTCCATCGACCATGTTGACCATGTTGACCTCATTGAGCACGTTGACCTCATTGATCTCATTGACCACGTTGACCATATTGACCCCATTGACCCCATTGACCCCATTGATCTCATTGACCACATTGACCCCGTTGACCTGATTGACCGTGTTGACCCCATTGACCACATTGACCCCACTGACCATGTTGACCTCATTGATCTCAATGACCATGTTGACCACATTGACCCCATTGCCCACGTTGACCTCATTGATCTCATTGACCACATTGACCACGCTGACCTCATTGATCTCAATGACCCCATTGACCACGTTGACCACGTTGACCCCATTGACCTCATTGA